AAACCAAGTACTTCCTGCGGCTGACCTCCGTGACGGCTGCCGACACGGCCACGTATTACTGTGCGAGAGGCACAGAGGAACAGTCTCAAGCACAGCTTGTACAAAAAGGGGAAGTGGGGCAAAGAGCGAGCTCTTAAAATGACACAATATGGATTCTCAATGTTCTATAAATAAAGTATATCCAAGAGGACTCACCAAAGCTGTGATCCTTCTGCTTACCACTGTTAGGGCTCAGGTGAAGAGGTTTGGCCTAAGGAGTAAAATCCTAAATACCTACGTTAATGGGAAGTACCTTAAATTCATGTAGATTCTTGACTGTGTTTTCCTACCTGTATTATCTCTACTAATAATATTTGTAATTTGACTCACAAACCTTTTAATGTTCCCCAATAAGAACTGAGAGTGTAAAGGTAAAGGTAAAGGTTCCCCTTGACAATTTTTGTCCAGTCGTGTTCGACTCTAGGGGGCGGTGCTCATAGTTCCCCAATAAGAACTGAGAGTAGGAACCCTTTATCCATGGGATCCATATCTCTGGTTTCCCTTGCTTGCAGACATGGATCCTGTGGATGTAGGGGCCTCACTGTGAACGCCACCAATCTTCGAAGAGTCTACACCCAGTATGAATCATGATGTAAGAAGATTTATAGTTTATTAATTATTTAAGAAATGAAGAAATCAATCCTTCTGGATGTGTAACCATTTCCCACTGTTTCCATGTGTCACAAAGTTGTCTTGCACGTGACCTTCCAGTGTTGCATTCAGCTCCGGAAGAACATTCAAACAAAGTAACTAAGTAACTAAAAAACAAACAAAATAATTAATAAATTCAAAAACAAACTGACTAACTAACAAGCAAGAAAGCAAGCAAGCAAACACACACACACACACACACACACACACACACACACACACACACACACACACACACACACAAAGCAGTAAGTAAATAGATTTAAAATACAGAATAGGCAGAAATGTTTTATTGGACGAACTTGTACTGATGATTGTATACAATGGTTAGTATGGACAACTAAGGCTCATGTGAATACTATTTAGAAAAATGCACAATTTAGGCATAAGAGAAAAACAGCATATTTAGTATATTTCCTTTTTAAAGAATTAAAGACAGATTCACACACCACCTTAGCTGTCCATTTATCTCAGCTGTGTGTTTTGGATACCTATTGAAGGGAAGCACAACTGTGCTCCTTTTCTTTGGCCCTGCTTCCAAGGTATGTGTAAAAAACTTATTAGCCCCAAGGAACCAGAGCCTGTAAAAGACTAGATACCCAAAGTCTCCAAATCTCCTGGCTATTGTTCTCCACACTGCTCACCCTAGCTTACTAGGAGGGAAGCATCCCTGGAGTTAGCAATCCTAATAAATCACTTCCCTTACTACCAAGCTCCAGCCCTGTAGGATGGGACATTCAACTCCTTAACACCATAGCCACAGCAGGACAAATAACACCGACTAACTATAGTGGACCCTTGACGTATGCATGGCTCGACGTGCGTATTTTTCGAGGTCCAGACTTCTTTGGCCGCAAGATTTCCAATCGACTTGCGGCCGGAGAATCGACCTACAGACCGGAAGGGGGGAGGCGGGGAAAGCGGCAAATTCAAATTTGGTGCTTTCCCCGCCTCCCCCTTCCGGTCCATAGGCCACCGATCGTGCCAATGGATGCCTTCCAGGGCTCCTCCACCACCATCGGAAGCCTCTCAGAGGAAGCAAGGCTGCATGAACTCTGCCTGCCTCCTTCATTCTGGAAATAGCTGCCAGACGCCTGAGAAACGCCAAGGAAGATCCCGTGAAGACCACCAAGGCCACATGAGCTGAAGGCCAGAATGCTCTGCCTACTTGTCTCCTTCCAAGGAGAACACATCTTGCAGCTCATGCAAAGACCACAGAAAAGTGCAATGTAAGGTGCTTTTCTCCCTCTTCTCTCTTGCTTTTCCACACTGGTTTTTCCCATTCCGAACTAGAATATGTAATTTATGTTCAAAAATGGCGTCAAGTTCCTTTCACATCATGACAACCTCCCAGTGGGTTTTCAAGTTACATGAAATGTCCAAGGACTAGATCACCATTACCACCTGCCAGTGAGTTTATATGTCCAAAGAGGCCTTTGAGCCTTGATCTCCCGAATCTTAGCCTGGCGCTCCATCCACCACATGGCTCGGCACTATCCATCTATTATTCCATGTTGATCAGCTGCTATCAGTCAGAAAAGGAAGGGATGGAATGGACACAGGTGACTTTGAGTGGTCCAGAATTGTGCTCCTCCTGGCACAACATTTACATAGATCCTGCTCCCAAATTATTCTCTGACATTATGCAAATTCTCTAGCATCCTCCCACTCATATACTACACCAGGGAGAGTCTCAGCTTCACTGCGGCACAGAGGGGGAAAATAAATCTGTATTTCAAGCTTCGTTTCTTTGGGATCAAAATGTTATTGCTCTTTTTTCCATTCTTCTTTCTGGTTCTCCTCCCAGGTGAGATTCCGAACACGCTCTCCATCCCGTTCATAAGCCAGAAGATAAAAATGTCTAGGTTTATGGCATCATTCAGGATAACTCTAAATTCCCACAATTATATTAATTGAGAAGACTTTTGACTCCTCAGGCCAGCAGACCTTAAGGCTAAATGGATCTCCTAACGTAACTCTGCATTCCTTTTCTCTTTCCTCCTCAGGCCTGTCTTCCCAGCTCCAGTTAAAGGAATCTGGACCAGGAACGGTGAGACCGGGAGACAACCTGGAGCTGACCTGTACGGTCACTGGGGGCTCCATCACAAGCAGCTACATTTGGAACTGGATACGACAAACCCCCGGGAAGGGGCTGGAATGGATGGGGTACTGGGTTGGCTCCCCCAGCTATTCCCCTTCTTTCCAAAACCGAATCACCATCTCCGTGGACCCTTCGCAAACCAAGTACTTCCTGCGGCTGACCTCCGTGACGGCTGCCGACACGGCCACGTATTATTGTGCGAGAGACACAGAGGAACAGTCTCAAGCACAGCTTGTACAAAAAGGGGAAGTGGGGCAAAGAGCGAGCTCTTAAAGTGACACAATATGGATTCTCAATGTTCTATAAAGAAAGTATATCCAAGAGAACTCACCAAAGCTGTGATCCTTCTGCTTACCCCTGTTAGGGCTCAGGTAAAAAGGCCTGGCGTAAGGAGTAAAATCCTGAAAACCCAAGTTAATGGGAAACACCTGAAACTCATGGAAATGCGTGATAAGGTTTTCCAGTCTCAATTATCTCTGGTAATAATATTTGCAGTTGGACCCATGAATTGTTATAAATTCCCCAAGAAGAAATAACACTTGGAGTCCTGTATCCATGGGATCCGTATCCGCAGTTTCCCCTATATGCAGAACACCACCAGTCTTCTAGGTGGGGACCGCATCCAGTACGAATCATGATCCAGTACGAATTAATTAATTAAATATGAACATGTAAGTCCTTCTGGATGTGTCCAACAGTTCCAACTGCTTCTATGTGTGACAAAGTTGCCTATTGGGACAATAAATACGGTAGCTCCCTATATCCTGCTTTTGCCTTTGGCATGATGATGGGAATGCTTTCTATATTTAGAAATATATACTCAAACTCATAAGGTTCCCCCTTCCATCCGCACACATCTCATTAATGCTTCACCATGCATATTCTGTCCTCTACCATCGTCGTTTAGTCGTTTACTCATGTCCGACTCTTCGTGACCCCATGGACGTGAGCACGCCAGGCCCTCCTATCTTCCACTGCCTCCCGGAGTTGGGTCAAATTCATGTTGGTTGCTTTGCAGACACTGTCCAGCCATCTCATCCTCGGTCGTCCCCTTCTCCTCTTGCCGTCACACTTTCCCAACATCAGGGTCTTTTCCAGGGAGTCTTCTCTTCTCATGAGATGGCCAAAGGATTGGAGCCTCAGCTTCAGGATCTGTCCTTCCAGTGAGCACTCAGGGTTGATTTCCTTTAGAATTGATTGGTTTGTTCTCCTTGCATATAAAATATAGCAAAGACCATTTGAATTGATAGGTTTGTTCTCCTTGCCTCTATAAAATATAGCAAACACCATTTGAAGCTTGCAAAGTCCATTAAGAAGAGCAGGAGGAAGATTTTAAACAAATAGGCTGAGTAATATGCAAGTAAAGACCATCTTCATGTATTATATACACTTTACCCTTCATATTCAAGGAAGACCATTTCCATTTGATGCAAGTAGTTACGGTTGAATAACCCCAGTGGGGTGTCAAACTACAGAAATATCCAAGGTTTAATTTGATATTAACACCTGTCAGCGAGTTTATGTAACCAAACAGGCCTTAGAGCCCTGATCCCAAATCTTAGCCTTGCACTCCATCTACTGCATGGCCCGGCATTATCCATCTATTATCCCATGTTGATCAGCTGCTATCAGTCAGCAATGGAAGGGACGGAATGGATACAGGTGACTCTGAGTGGCCCAGAATTGACTCCTCCTGGCCCAAGATTTACATAGATCCTGCTCCCCAATCATTCTCAGACCTTATGCAAATTCTCTAGCAGCCTAACACTCATATACTATACCAGGGAGACTCTAAACTTCACCGCACCTCAGAGGGAAAATAAATCTGTATTTCGAGCTTCGTTTCTTATCTATTTCTTTGGCACCAAAATGTTATTGCTCTTTTTTCCATTCTTCTTCCTGGTTCTCCCAGGTGAGTTGCCCTATATGCTCTCCTTCGAGGAGATGAAAATTTCTAGGTTTCTTGCATACTTCTGGGTGACTCTAAGTTCCCACAATTGGATTAATTGAGAAGAATATTGACTCCTCAGGACAGCAGACCTTAAGGATAAATGGATCTCCTAATGTAACTCTGATTCCTTTTCTCTTTCCTGCTCAGGTCTTTCTTCCCAGCTCCATTTGAAGGAATCTGGACCAGGAATGGTGAGACCGGGAGACACCCTGGAGCTGACCTGTACGGTCACTGGGGGCTCTGTCACAAGCAGTTGGTATTGGCACTGGATACGACAAACCCCTGGAAAGGGGCTGGAATGGATGGGGTACTGGACTGGCTCCACCAGCTATTCCCCTTCTTTCCAAAACCGAATCACCATCTCCGTGGACTCTTCGCAAACCAAGTACTTCCTGCGGCTGACCTCTGTGACAGCCTCTGACACGGCCATGTATTATTGTGCGGGTCGCACAGAGAAACAGTCTCAAGCACAGCTTGTACAAAAAGGGGAAGTGGGGCAAAGAGCGAGCTCTTAAAGTGACACAATATGGATTCTCAATGTTCTATAAAGAAAGCGTATCCAAGAGAACTCACCAAAGCTGGTGGGATCCTTCTGCTTACCACTGTTAGGCCTCAGGTGAAGAGGTCTGGCCCAAGGAGTAAAATCCGAAAAAAATAGGTTAATGGAAAACACCTTAAACTCATGGACTTGCTCAATAAAGTTTTCCTATCTGTATTATCTCTGTTGATAATATTTGTAATTGGACTCACAAATCATTTTAAAGTTCCCCAAGAAGAATTGAGAGTTGGACCCCTCCATTCACAGGATCCGTATCTGTGGTTTCCCCTATATGCAGATACGGATCCCGTGGATGTAGGGGCCTGACTGTGAACACCAGTCTTTTAGGAGGGGAATGCATCCAGTACAAATCATGATACTAGATTAATTAAATAAATATGAACATATATATCCTTCTGGGTGTGTCCAATATATCCAGCTATTTCTATGTGTGACAAGGTTGCCTATTGGGACAAATATCCTCCTTTTGCTTTTCGCTCAATGATGTGGATGCTTTCTCAGTTCAGAGATATGTATTCAAGTGTGTAGGGTTGCCCCTTTAATGTGCCCAAATATCATTAACATTTCTATTAAATCCTCTATAAAATATAGTAAAGTCCATTTGAAGCTTGCACAGTCCATTAAAAGGAAGAGGAAGAGGAAGATTTTAAAGAGATAGGCAGAGCAATATGTTTTGTGGAAAAAAAGGAATTCAAGGTCCTGAAGTATTAAGAGCTTTATAGATTATCACCAGCAGCACAGTAAATTCTTATCAGTTTGTTGTTTGAGGAGAATGTACCCAAATTAATTTTATTTATTTATTTATTCATTCATTAGTTCGTTCATTCATTCATTCATTCATTCATTCATTCATTCATTCATTCATTCATTTACTCACTGGTTCAATTAGAATGGGCAGCCAAGGGGCAGCCAAGGCGCCTTGTGATGATGAAACAATGAACCAAAAAAACCCACAATAAATGATAGATTAAAAAACAATTCAGCGGGAACAAAAATTAACAATACTTTAGGAAACTAAAAAATATTTAAAATATTCTTAATTAAATGCCTGCCTGAAGAGCTGAGTTTTCAACTGCCATTTGTAATATTTCCATATACACCGCAAAACCTAAGTGTACACACACATCCCACATCCTTTTGACACCTTTTCAGTCATGGAACTATGTGGCTTCAAAATCCAACAAGGCGCACATCGACATGGAGCTCCCATTTTGAACTACAGCCAGCTGTATACATTTTAAATTATTCCACTTTGACAGAACCGTCTCCCTTCACACATTGAACAGGATGGCACCTTCCAATCCTGACATGTAATTCCAAAAAATACTCGGTCATCTAGGCATCCTGTATAGAAACTAATGCACTATCCGTCCTGCAGCCCTATGCTCCCGGGGCCTTCATCTCAACAAATATTGCCTCTGAATCCATCGTGCTTATCAAAACATGTTTCTCAACATGGCCCTGCAGTTTATTATGCTAGTTGGCCCATTTCTGTGGGGTTTGGTGTTAATTAAAAGCAGGAACCCTTTTGTGTATGGAGTGTATGGAGGAATCTAGCAGATCCTCTTGAGGTTCATTGGGTAGGTGAAATGAAGGCTATAGAGGTGAATGCATAACATCCCTGAGGGAAACGGCGGTCCCAAGAGGGTGACCAATTCCTTCTGCTTTTTCAAAATGTGAACAAAATGGCCACTTGAGATTTCTAATGGAAACAAGGGCGAATTGATGCAACTCTGTAATGTAAAACTCAAGTGTTTCTTCCATGTTCATAACAAGAAGCAGTGAGAACATCCAGAGGACTTGAATTGTCTGGCAACGCGGGAAGGGGGCCACACTCTCTTCTATTTTTCTTCAAGCTTTTGCTGTTGTTGTTGTTGTTGTTTTGTTAAATAGTTTTATTAGATGTACACTCTGCAAGTAAAGACCATCTTCTTGTAATACATATACTCCCCCCTTTCCATCTTCTTGTAATACATATACTCCCCCTTTATATTAAGGGAAGACCATATCCATCTCAAGTGAGTAGTTACAGTTGAATACCTTGATGGATATTCAAGGGACCAACAATCATAGCACAAGCCCAAAAGATCCAGAAACCCAGCTATGCAAAATGATTAGGGCACGTCATTGTCCCCTTAAGATCTTTATTAACTCTGTATGTGTGTGTGCCTTTTGGACACCCTGACCCCTAGAAAAATTACAATTATTTAATGAAAAACCAGGAAAAGCTGGAAGAAAAGTGCAATGTGAGCTGCTTTTCTCACTCTTCTCTCTTTCTTATCCACTTTGATTTTACTCGCTACAAACTAGAATAGGTAATTTATGTTACAAAATGGCATTGAGTTCCTTCCACATCATGACAACCTTTGAGTGGATTTTCAAGTTACATGGAATGTCCAAGGACTAGCTCATCCTTACCACCAACCTGTGCCTTTATGTGATCAACAGGCCTTTCAACCCTGTTCTCCCAAATCTTAGCCTGGTGCTTCATCAACTAAACAGCCTGGCGTTATCCATTTATTATTATATGTTGATCAGCTGCTATCAGTCAGCAATTGAAAGGACTAAATGGGCACAGGTCACCATGACTGGTTTGTACTTGCGCTCCTCCTGGCACAAGATTTACATAGATCCTGCTCCTAAATTATTCTCTGACATTATGCAAATTCTCTAGAGGCCTCCCATTCATATACTACACCAGGGAGATTCTTAGCTTCACTACACCTCAGAGGGAAAATAAATCTGTATTTCTAGCTTCGTTTT